ACTTAAGTGAAAAGACCTAAAGTTGTTCTGATGTCTATGGGAAACAGCACTTTGACTTCCTTGGTCTGTACCCTCAGTCACACTTGGTTTATGGTTTCAATCAGTAGTTTTAAGTCTCATTGAATGTAACAGGAAGTTCATTCTATAGATTTGAATGTAACAGGAAGTTCATTCTATAGATTTGAATGTAACAGGAAGTTCATTCTATAGATTATCTCTGTGACTGACAAACTTCCAATTTACATCTGGTTTCAAAATGCGAGCATGGTGACAGTTCTCAGCCAGAGCTACGCCCGTCTTTTATATCCAGTCTAGGCAGTCTTTCTCTCTCTTTAAAGCCTCTTTTGTACTCTGTTGTGATTTTGTGTTTTTCTTCAGAATTACCACGCCCTTATCTATGGACATGTTTGCCTGGACAAGGGAAGAAGCTGTGCTGTACAACGGGATCATTCTCTGCTGCATCGGATTTGTATCAATCTTGGTGTTTCTGGCTGTAAAAGTGGCTGCTCTTAGGTATCACCCCTCTCACTGCACATATAAATTACATCAAATAAAGAATCGCCTTTCCTGAATTTCGTTAATTTCCTTCCAGATTCGGAGATCGGCCTGTGTTGTTAATCGGCTTGGTCATTATTTTCTGTGGCTTCTTTATTCTTCTTCCATGGGGAAACCATTATCCTAAAATCCAGTGGGCAGGTATTGATCGGTTGAATTAAGTAGTCAGATTAGTTTCCAGTTGTTGCCATTTTGACTCTTGACAGCTCAGTGTATAGTTGTTACATCTTTCCAAGCATCTGTTTAGATTTAAACTAATTTTTACCCTCCTCTTTCACAAACAGACATAAAAAACAACTCCTTTGTGACTCAGATGCCTGACCTCATTCCAGCCCCGAACAGTACTGTGGAGCCAACGGGGTGTCCCATTGAACAAACCTGGTGCCAGTATACTCCTGCTATACACATAGCTCAGTTCTTCTCAGCGGACTTCCTCATTGGAGTGGGATACCCAGCCTGCAATGTGATGTCCTACACACTGTATTCCAAAATCCTTGGACCCAAACCTCAGGTAAATACAAACGTGTGATGCTTTAAAATAATTTTGAATGTGCCCATATACTTCTCAAATGTTTCACCAGGGTGTGTACATGGGCTGGCTGACGGCGTCGGGCAGCGGGGCACGGACACTCGGCCCGGTCTTCGTCTCCCATGTCTACACCCACCTGGGACCTCGCTGGACCTTCAGCCTCATCTGCGGCATGGTGGCAGGAGCCATCATCCTCCTCATCTTGGCCTACCGCAGACTCATTGCCTTTTCTGTTCGCCATGGAAGGATTGTAGAGTAGCATTGATGGAAACTGATCGCTGTTTGTTATACTTGCTTTCAGCACATAAGTCCTGGCCATCATGACAACCTTCTGTCGCTGCCCCTTTGAAAAGTGGGGATGGATAAGCTTTTAAAAGTTTTTAACTCAGGGTTTTGACTTTTTAACTCTTGCAAAGACAGTTTTTTATAACATGATCGAAGACCGCTGCTTCATGATTTATAAAGGAGCTAAAACTGCAGTGAGCACGAAGCTCACTTGTTGGGAAAGAAAACATGACAGAAGTGTGTCTTTGAGTGATGAACATAATTACACATGCATTACATCATAGAACATTACATTTGACATTTTTAACATTTCCTGCTAAACTCTTTTTCTTAATGGAAAAAATACTGATATTATTTTTCCTTCTGTTAATGGCTTAACCTGTAGTTGTTTAAAACTGCAAGTTTTTGTCTATTGGAAAATATTCAGAAATGTCTGGGTGGGTGCGGGTGTGTATGGTAACAATAAACTGAATAATAAATAAACTGTTTAAGATTTTATCTAACCCTGTGCTGGCAGTATTTAGTGTGTATATCTTATGATGAGGTGGGCTTCTTTATATCAGACAATGTATTATGTGTAGCCTAACATTGTTGCTCCTCAGAGAAGGCTTAATCAGCTGTGCACTTTAAATTGTTAAAGAAAAACCATGAGAAGAGGCAGGAAGTGTTCCCTCTCTTTAAACAAAAGATAACAGTGCAGACCTCTTCTGGCAATCCGATGGATGACTCTGCATTTGGTTGCCAGGAG